AAGTGGGGTTCAACTGCTAGATTCTTGATTAATACAAAACAAAAACTTGGTCTTGGCATGCAAAAAAACGCGAGTCGGCGTTGAGTAGTGATTGGTCTCAACAATTAGCCGACGAACTTCACAAACCAATCACACGAAACTTTCAAAAGAGATCAGTAGTCTCAAACGGAATTGATGATATCTGGGCTGCTGATTTAGTTGAAATGCAAACGTTTAGTAAGTGGAATAAAGGAATTAAATATCGGCTGATGGTTATTGATGTGTTTAGCAAATATGGATGGATTAAACCTCTAAGTAACAAAAAAAACCGAAACTGTTAGTAAAGCATTTGATGAAATATTTAAATCAAGTAAACGTAAACCTCAAATGTTATGGACTGATAAAGGTTCCGAATTTATAAGCAAACATTTTAAAGATTTTCTTAAAAGAAAGGGTATTGAGTTGTATCACACTGAAAACGAGGAGAAATCTAGTGTTGTTGAAAGATGGAATAAAACAATGAAAAACAGAATGTGGAAGATGTTTACTGTGAATAACAACACTGTTTACTGGGATAAGATAGATAAACTAGTTGATGATTACAATAATGCGAGATATTCTAGTATAAAAATGACTCCTGTTGAAGCAAGTAAAAATAAAAATAAAAATAAAGTTTGGTCTAATTTGTACGGTGATTCTATTTACTTGAAACCTGGTAAATCAAAGTTTTTGCAATTGGTGATCGTGTTAGAATTTCTAAGTATAAGAGGAAGGTATTTGATAAAGGCTACACACCAAACTGGACAGAAGAAATATTCGTTATTGATAAAGTTTTACCTACAAAACCTGTTACGTATAGGATTGTTGATCTGATGGGAGAAAAAATTAAGGGTTCTTTCTACAACAAAGAATTACAAAAAACAAAACAACAAACATTTAGAATAGAAACGATTATCAGACGAGATAATAAGAAAAAAATGGCATTAGTAAAATGGAGTGGATATCCTGATAAATTTAACTCATGGGTTAGTTCTAAGGATTTGGTTGATTTTTAATACGAAATTCGTATTAAAAATAGTTATTTACTCGTTTTCTTCATCAGTGTCGTCAACTAAGTCTTCTCTTAATTGATCAATTATTTCTTCGATATCGCTTTTCTCTTCATCTTCTTCTTCAAATGTTAGTAAAGACTCTCTAGGTTTGAGTGGTTTGACATAACACTCATGAACTTTTATTTGTAAAGATGTCACAGTTTTACTTATAAAGATTCCTTCAATTATCAGAGCCAATTTAACATTACAGTATTGATTGATATATTCAAAAGGATTTAAATCCTTACCTCCCTTTCCCTTAAACAAAGATAAAATTTTCTTTGATTTTTCTGAGTAAATAAGTTTCGCATAAAAAACCGGTGCAGATGAGGGATCAATTCTTGTTTTCTTCTTTCCTTTTTTATCAAAGTATTCTTCCTGTTTGTGATATAATGGTGTTGTAAGAGTTGAAGCTAAATCTGGGCCATATTCATTCTCTAAATATTTTTGAGAAAGAGTTGTTACGTTATTAATAACTTCCAAAAATGCTTTTTCTTTGTTATTTGGTTCGCTATCTTTGGCCCAAAGACATACTGGAATACTATAACCTACTAACTTTTTTGTTTCTTGATTTTTCTTTTCACTAACACCAAAACTAAAAAGAAATGGGGTTTCGATTACAAGCGGTCCTTTCTTTCCATTCGAATATTTAATTTCAATTGGGATACGCTTGTATTTAATCTTACTATCTTTGACTTTAAATTCTTTGGCTTCTTTAAAGATAATATTGTCTTGGGTAAGATTTTCGTAGCTGGACAACTGCATTTTTTTTAATTATAAATTTTTATTCCTTAAATCATTATACCACTCATCTGTTTTTGTAATTGGTATAGGAATTTGTAAAATTTTATTATTTTCCTCTTCTTCCGTAAAACATTTATCTAACATTAAAAAAGTTTTTCCTTCAAATAAAGTAAAACCAAAAATAGCGTATTTATATGCTAATGAATCTGAAATAGATTTTATTTTGTCTAAATCAATCTTTTTACCTTCGATATAATTTTCTAAATATCTACACAAAATTTGAGTCATAAAGGAATAAAATGGTTTTATTTCATCAAACTCCTCACTGTCTTCGTAGTCTTTCACTATAAAATAAATATTTTTAAATATCGATAAAAGTCTACTAAAACCTTTCAAAATTTTCTGTTTTTTTAAATCATTAGTTTCTTGTGCTTCCTTTACTTTTTTAGCTAAAGTATCAATGACAAACACATCATCAAAAAACATTTTTCTTTATTTTAATTAAATATTTAAGCATTTTTTTCTAAAAATTCAAATGTGTATCTATCACCGTCTTTTTTTGAAATAACTGTTTTACAATATTTTACTTTTCGACAAATATTAGAAATAATTGAAAAGGAAATATCTAATTCAACTGAAGCAGATGTAATACTCTCATAATTTTTTTGTTTATTGTTTTTAATATTAAATGATAATATAGGTTTACTATTTCCTTTTCTAACATTTTCTGCTAAAGTTAGTAATTGTAAATTTTCAATTTTATTATTCGTTCTAACAGAATCAATATGATCAATAACAAATCCCTCTGGAATAACACCTCTTACACATTCCCATTCAAACCTGTGTATAAGGTAATTCTTTGGTTTAATTAGATTTTTATCACTAATTTTAAACTGATAGTATCCATGATCAGTCAAATTTTTTTTTTAAATTCTTCCAGTCTTTACATTTAAAATTTCACCTTCTTTTGAAGCGGCATAATTAGTAAAAATAGGATGAATATAGAACTTCTTTCCACCATTTAAAATTTTTTTGCGGTTCATTTTTTAAAAATTAAATCTTTGAATTCTTAAACCCTTTTTCAATTTTGACTTCTATAGAATATAATCTTCCTGAAATTTCTTTTAATCCTTCTTCTAAAACTTTTATAAGTTCTTTCTTAAAATTATTATCATCATTAAGAAAATAAATATCATTATATGAACTAGTTAAAGAATCATTACCATTTGAACTCATTTTATTATATATATTTTTTTATTCTTTTAAATATTTTTTTTAGGCCAAAGTAAATTAACGGACCAGAAGTTAGCTGATTCTGGATTATTATAAGTTAACTCTCCTTGTTTATTCTTAATCTTTGTAGCTCGAACAAGATATTTATCTCTTATTTCTTTGTCTTTGTGAGTAAGATAATCAGCATATTTTGTCGATCCAAAATGAACTTTTTTTCCACTTTTAAGAGTAACCATGTATTTGTTATTTTTTCGTGTTGAATAATCAAGCGATTCAGCACCAAGTTTTTTAGCATTTCTGGTTAGTTTTTCAAACTCTTTTCCACTAACAAGATACTTATCATTTGGGACATAATCAGAGTCTAAATCCTCTTTTGTAGGAGTAGTTTCTCTTGATCTTGGTTCCATTTTTTATTATTTGTTTATACTAGTCCTATTTCTTTTTCAAACTTTATAATAAAAAAACTCATAACAAAAAATGTTATGAGTTTAAATTTAACAATCAAAATCAAAATCAAAATCAAAATCATCAGTACATTTCAAATATTCATTGTCTTCGTAATTTATTTTAAACTTACTAAAAAATAATTCAAAATCATAATAAATATTTTCAAAACCAGGAAAAGGATTAACAAAATTTTGATATTTTCTTCTTCGATAATTAATAATTCTTATAAAATCATTTAAAATTTTTTTAAACTCAACTAAGTTTAAAATATCATCACTTTTAATCTCAAAATTTCTTAAATCTTTAAAATTACTTGTATTTATCTCATAATAAAATTTTTCAATTAATTTTTTTAATTCATCAACTTTTGGATTATTAAATAAACCACAAGTTGCTTCTTTAATATTATCAATGAAATATTTTATTTTATCATTGACATGTAAAACAAATAAATATTCTTTCTTAAAATTCTTTGCGTAAACTGGAATAACCTTGCTAATCATTGTGTTTTATTATTATATTAATTTCTTTAAATCAATTTATTTTTCCACTTCAACCTAAGTAAAACAGGTTTAACCAGAAAATAGTTGATAACAGTGCTTAAGAGCGAATGCACAGAAAAATCGAGCAAAATCGGCAAATCGTGGCCGCAGCTCAAAACCTAACCTACCCTCATTTTCAGTTTGTAATAAGGTTTTATGAGACATTTACCAGCGGGTAAATGCAGTTAATGGAGCATGAAGCCCCAGGGGGGTAGGCAGAGAAAGCCTGCCTCGTCTTAGGCTCGGTGATGTCTTGAAAGCTCGATTCATTAAATGAAAGCACTCTATTCTTTAAGCAGAAAACAAAAGCTTTTCATGGCTAGAACCTCACTGAGTTGTCGCATGCTTGTCATCGTATATTTTCTTACCTTCGCAAAGATTGGTCCCTGTATTCAAAGCCCTATTCAGTTCTATTCACGGCCAGACCTTAGTCATGATGAGTTGAGATAGTTAATAGTACAACTGTGCCTATTGGCCGTATTTTGAGACACTGTCTGACTATAAAGCTTTGCAAATGCCACTTCTAGTCATTATTTGGTTAGCTTGCACGAAAGCAATCATTTAAAGTAGTTTTGTTATGGCTCGTCCACGTTCCCAGCCCGCGACATCGCGTCCAAGTACCGACCTTTCAAAGCTTTCCAGCGAAGTACTTCGGCTTCGTTTGCAACAACTGAATCTTCCTGTCACGGGAAACCACGCTCGCTTGGTCGAAAGGCTTCGTTCAGTGAATGGAACCCGCCAGCTCTCTGCACCCACGCGAACCAAACGGGCTGATGGTCGAGTGGCCAAGAGGTCACCAACCTCGTCGAAGCGCTCCAAACAGGCCGCACGGAGTCTCAATCGTCAATCCGCCTCCTCCAACTTGCCTTCCGAACCTCAAGACCGAGATGAAGTCTTGGACCACTTCTCAGAGGAGGAGGAGTCCGCCACAAGCGACCTTTTGGTCGATTTAAACGCAGAACCAATGGAACCCATGGAGTTGTGTGACGCTGTTTTTACCCCGGCTCAACTAGCGGCGATCCAGGACACCGTTTCGTCGACTGTTCAAGCAGTGTTTCAATCGCTGCCCCACACAACGACGTTATCCCGCCTGCTCCCGCGTTTTCCAGCACACCAAGTCCTCGTGTTCCTTCTGTGGTCTCTCCGAACGGCCTCAATCGTCCCTTGGACAAGACACTCGAGGATAAAATACTCCGCGGTGAGTACGTTGATTTCTCTTTGCTTTTGCCAGAAACACTGTACCAGACCCAGACCCCGCCCTCCAATTGCGTTACGAGGACTCGCCCCAGGCTCCTTGGGCTCCCCGCTTACTGTTGTTAAGCGCAAGAAACCAGTTGTAGACTCTTTTCAAAAATGGTTGGACGCGTTTATGGCTTACATGCTGGTAATCGTCACGGCCTACCCCAACCGGGCGGTGGAGCTCATAAAGTATCAGCAGATCATTAGCCGCGCAGTAACTAAGTTCAAGGGCTTAGCGTGGTACACATACGACGAGCACTTTAGACGCCGCGCAGCTCGCGATCTTACCATCGCATGGGATAGGATAGATATCGAACTTTGGACGGTGACCTTTACGGGTACCGCTAAGCCCCATTGTTCTATATGCTCTAGCCCGTACCATCAATCTGATGACTGCCCCCACCAGGAACCCAGCAAAAAGCCTCGCCGGTCTGCCCTCGTTTGCTTCGATTACAACAAACCCTCAGGGTGTCAGCGACGTACCTGTCACTTCCCCCACAATTGCCGCCGCTGTGGATCCAGCAGTCACGCACTCTTCAATTGCCCCAGCTCCAGACAGCATGCCACAGGCACCAAATCAGCAACCCCGGGCGATCGCAGCAAAAAATAAAGTGGAACAGTGCCAGCGGAAGCAGAGACCAACAGTGTCCACCCCTCTCGATGTAGATAAATTAGCGTTTGAATTAGTTAATCACCCTAATCGATCTTTTGTTGATAACTTAGTTAATGCCCTCAGGTACGGGACTCGTATCGGTTACCTTGGTCCCCAAAAATTCCGGGTATCCAATAACTTGATCTCCGCTTCCCAACACCCCGAGGTTATTTCCGCGAATTTAAGTAAGGAAATGTCGTTGGGTAGAGTTGCAGGCCCCTTTCTCTCGCCCCCACTCCCCAATTTCCAGTGCCACCCTATCGGCGTGGTGCCAAAAAAGCACTCCACGGAATGGCGCACTATCTATCACCTATCCTATCCCCCGGGTGACAGCGTAAATGATCATATTCCAAAAGACCCTTATTCTCTTCAGTATGTACGGGTAGACGACGCAATAAGCATTCTGAAGTCCTAGGGTCCCGGGGCGTACATGGCTAAAACCGACCTTAAATCGGCGTTCCGTATTATGCCTATTCACCCGGATGATTGGAACCTGTTGGGTATTTATTGGCAATCACGTTACTATGTAGATCTGTACCTCCCATTTGGGCTCCACAGTTCACCCTTCCTCTTTAATCAAATCTCTGACGCCTTAGAATGGATCTTAAAAAACAACTACGGCCTGGGCCATGTTATCCACATCCTGGACGACTTCTTTATCGCAGAGTCTTCTAAGCTGACCTGCTTAGAGAACTTTAGTACCCTTTTAAAAGCGTTCACGTCCCTCCGGGTACCAATAGTAGCAGCCAAAACCCTGGGCCCCTCCCAAGTCTTGGAATTTATGGGGATTGTGCTCGATAGTACCCGCATGGAAGCTAGGCTGCCGGAGGATAAGCTAGCTCGGATTAGTCAGCTCCTTGATTCCTTTAGTGCCCGCCGCTCAGCCCGTCTAGTGGACCTCCAGTCCCTTATCGGCACCTTGCAATTTGCCTGTAAAGTAGTGGTCCGCGGGCGAACCTTTCTCCAGCGCATGATCAATCTCACCAGGGGTGTTCCCAGCCGTTTTCACCATACCCGTCTGAACAAGCAATTCCAACGGGATATTACTATGTGGAAAGTTTTTCTCACCCAATGGAACGGGCGGTCCTTCTTCCTTGATTCCTTTGTTACCTCCTCCCCTGACCTTGAATTGTACACAGATGCAGCTAGCACCATTGGGTTCGGGGGGTATATTAATGGGAAATGGTTCCAAGGGCACTGGCCGCCTCACCTTCTTATCAACAAGAAGACGGGGATTAGCATTGAATGGCAAGAACTTTTCCCTATTGTTATCGCTTGCGCCCTCTGGTACCCCCATTTTGCGGGTAAACGCCTTCAATTTTGGTGCGACAATGAAAGCGTCGTGGCTATTATCAACTCTGGCCACTCAAAAGCTCCCCGGGTGATGGACCTGGTCCGTTTTTTGGTTCTCATTTCTATGAAACACAACTTCTTGGTACGGGCCCGCCACGTTCCGGGGGTAGATAACGGAATTGCTGACGCCCTCTTACGTTTCCAAGTCAAACGCTTCAGGGATCTCGCACCCAATGCCGACCGGACCCCTTGTTTCATCCCTCCTTCGTTCATGACCCTCTGAAGGATGAAGTTCTACGGTATGCTAACTGGGCCTTATCATGGAACACCAAACGCACCTATACATCCGGAGAAAAGCGTTTTATCTCATTTTGTCTTATGAACAGACTTACATCTCCAGCAGGTGATATTTTACCTGCGTCGGAGGGGACACTTATCTATTTTGCGTCTTATGTAGACCGCACAGTTCGACATTGCACAATCAAAATGTATTTAGCAGCCGTCAGGAATCTACATATAGTTTCAGGTTACAATGACCCCTTACAGGGCAAGCTGCTTTTAAAAGAGATTTTAAGGGGCATTCTTCGTTACCAGGGGTGTTCTCGTATAAGTCGTCAGCCGGTGACCCCCCGGGTCCTGTTAGCTATCCGTCCCGTCCTTGAGAGCTGGTTAGATGTTCGGGATTTTTCTATGATCTGGGCGGCATTTACCCTAGCCTTTTTTGCCTTTCTTCTTTGTAGCGAGTTTACGTACCCGGGGGCACGTAATTTTAGTTCTCAGTTTAACCTCACCACTGATTGCGTGACTTTCTCACCAAGTCTGGCTTGCCCGCAGCACATGCTTCTCAAACTTAAATCTTCTAAAACTGACAGTTTTCGACAGGGGCAATCTCTCGTTGTAGCTCGGTGCTCTTCTCTATTGTGCCCCGTTTCCGCGATGCAACGGTATTTTCTGCTTGCCCAGCCTCGGCCTGGGCCCCTTTTTTACTTTCAGTCGGGTCGGCTTCTCACTCGGTCCTCTGTTACGCATTTACTTCAGGACTCTGCTCGCTGTTCGGGACTCCCATACGAGAGTCTAAAAGGTCACAGTTTCCGTATAGGCGCCGCGTCTGCTGCGGCCGCTGCGGGCTTACCAGACTGGTTAATAAAAGTTTTAGGTCGTTGGTCCTCGGACTGTTATCAGCTGTATATTCGCACTCCCGAAACGGTCTTGCTTTCTGCTGTTCCCAAAATGGCTCGCGTGTCAACTTGGCGTGGAACTTTATTTAGTGTTTTGTTGTTGCTTGGGGGGATGCATTGCATGCATCTGTGGCGGTTAAGTCTGCGTTGCGACTTCCCCCAAGCTTTTGGCATTGCTTGTGTCTTGCCATCTTTTTAGCTATTCCTTTGCCTTAATCTTGTCCGATCCAGCCCGTGAGGCGCTGGGGAGATAAGAAAGGCTCTGCCAAGACTCTTGTCCTACCCCACGGTAGTGGGGCGACAAGTAAGGCTTGTGTTATTTTGTGCGCAAAACCCGAAGTCGCTATAACCTGCCACAGGGCTGTGTCCCCCCCTTATTACGCCATCATGGAGTTGTTGTTTACTTAGCCTGCGTGCGTTATTTACTTGCGTGACGTTTGCATGCGTATCTTACAAGCGGAATAGTGACATTAAATGAGATTATAACACTGCTGAGGTTTTAATTTCAAAATGCGGCCGAGTTTGGGAATTATTTGAGATTTTCGATTTCAACGGTCTGCGGGCCTAAAATTAGCCGCCGAACAAGGGAAAATAGCCCAGTGACAGAATTGAGCTAACTTTCACAAACGAGCGAATATATTGGCAATCTTCCACTTAAATATCAAAAAACAGATATCTAACAATTTTTGAACGGCACATTTTTTAGATTTAGAGAATAAAATATCGACGAACGAGCATAATTTCGAAACGTAATTTGCATAATGCCTACAAGTGCAACAATTTACCGCTAAAACCAAAATCGAATTTTCTATATGGGGGAATTCTCCAAATCACCCCAAATCCCAGTTACTACCCAATGAGATATAGCACTTCAACATTATCTGAAAGTTAGTCTGGTGTTCTTGCGAACGCTTGTAAAATAGATTGATTATTTTGAGGTTATTTTGCCCCAAACAACCGCTAATTGACCCCAGGGTCAATTGACACGTGCACGTCACCTTAGTCTTATGCGTCGATTTGAGCGCGTTAAAAGAGAGAAACTAACAAGATTCTTTTTATATGCACCTGTTTTAATGAAATGCATGCAATCTTCAAAAGGAGAGGCCGTTCAATGGGTAATTTCTGTTCTTGAGATCCTGCAGATTGCAGCATGGCGTCTGCGAGCGGACCTGAGTCTAGGTCTGTTTTTCTGTGACTGCGAAATCAGAATAACATCAAGGAATAATTCTCCCTCGAATCTTCGTATTATAAAGTGAATCAGCTTTGCAGTGCCTTACCAGAGATAAAAAGAGGGCCGAATAGGAAAACATTCTAGCGCAATTTGGATCCTTTGTGGAACGCAGGGTATTACTGAGCGAAAGGTGAGTAAACAAACCTGGGGAAGTAGGTTACCGTTGATTGCGTGAGTAGCCAGTAAACGATAGTCTCCAGCGAAAGATAGGATTCGCAAAAATCTTGCTGATGTATATTTAACAGTTTGTTACTATAAATTTACACCTGGTTTGTCTAAAACTTTAAACAATGCATATCTGTCCAAGAGTATAAGAATGTTTCGAAAGATCCACCCCTAAATAACCATGGCTACTTCTTTTTCCCCATCACCGATATGCACTTTCTTCCCACTGTCTTTTGCATGAGGCTTGTATCCTTTTAAACTGTTATCGACACATAAAACTGGTGGTTTAAGGCCTGGTTTAAGAACTTGGCTGACTTAAAAAACCGTCGCGAACATGCGCTATTATTGTTGGACTTTGCAAGCTTTAAGCCCAAAATGATGGTGCAATCTCGAGAAATTTGCCCGGGTCTAAGACAGGGAACGGGTACTAAGAAAGGGACGGTCTCATAGCAACCCGTGGACAATCTGGGCATGCTTGCCTTCTGTCGCAGGGGTAACCGTTACGGCCAGGTACGCCGCCCCCACCTGCGAGGATTGCATATGGCTCCACCATTTGACTCGCTTTTTCCACATCATGACCTTCAATTATACGGGCCTACATCGTTGCCACCTTCCCAGAAGTCTCATCGTCGCACCGTCAGACCATGAGAATCTCTATCATTCCATAAATGCACCGTTGACTTTTCCTTGTTCAGCTTCCAGTAAACCGATACCCCGAAGAAAAAATAGCTTTACAACGACTCTATCCAGGCCAAAACTCCTGATAGGAACAAACAGGGGCACCCAACGTGAATATAGTTCAAAACCACTTAAACATAGCATTGTTAAACGTATTTTAGAATTTAACAGTTGATAAAGGCATATTTTTATCCCCTAAAAATTTTTCATCTGTTCGGATTTCCTAGCTGAAAGTCTAGTGATCCGAAAATTAGAGGGATCAAAACTTACCTTTTCGAAAATTTGAGCCAGAAAAAAGGCTCCCGAAAATTCTAGGTGACCTTTTTAGGGTAAAATCAGGTAAAAACGGGCAATTATACCATTTTTTAGATGTTCGAAAATCTTAGGAGATGCAGGCAAACAAGAAATTTTACAACAAATGTGCCGAACAGGAAAATATATTTACTGTATCCCGAAAGCTTTGGTTTCCCGTGCACTTATTTTTTGCAGGAGACAATCGATAATTGCCTCGTCACGCAATCAGAGGTGAGTAACTAATTAAAAGTCATTGATACCGTCGCCGCTTAGCAAATACACTACGTGCTGCAAAGGGTCCAAATTGCCTGTTTGGACCACTTTTTATCTCAGGTAAGGCACTGCAAAGCTGATTCATTTACGAAGGTTCGAGCGAGAATTATTTTATGATGCTATTTCGCAGTCACGGGAAAACACACCTAGACTCAGGTCCGCTCGCAGACGCCATGCTACAATCTACAAGGTCTCAAGAACAGAAATTACCCATTGAACGGCCTCTCCTTTTGAAGACTGCATGCATCTCATTAAAACAGGTACATATAAAAAGAATCTTGTTAGTTTCTCCCTTTTAACGCG